TCTCTCTGCACAAAGTGGCGCTGGAAAATTCCATAGTGCTCCTATGGAAAATGCAGCATAATTAACTCATTTTGCTACGAAGCCTTTTTAAGACGAGACCTTTGTGTTGAACATATTTTACTGTTCCACTCCTCTTCTACTGTCCTATATTAATCAAAGCTGTAACCCCTGTTGTCTTTGCACTGCGAATCAGAATGTGCCCCTGGCGAAGAATGAGGGAAAAGTCAACAGGAATTAAGTTTCAGTGCAACTGTTTACTCAACTGTGGCCTGCAGTTATTGAAATTTTATCCGTGGTTTTGTGTGACTACTGCAGTAATGAATTCAGCATGGCTGTGATTTTCTCACTGATGGTATTCTCACTTCAAGTAAAAACCTGTAGGATGAAAATTACTGAAACAACCAAAGTCTATGCATTTAGCATCATCCATTTTTCTGACTCGTTTAATTATGGCAGCTTTCTGTCTTACGTTGGCAAACGGGGTCCCCTGCTCCTCCGCAAGCCTTCGGTTTGCTTTGTTTTTTGAGTGCAGGGGTTTTTTTCTTCTCTACAACAACCTGCTAAAAAGATCACTGTACACTTAGGGGAGTCTTAACCACCTGCCAATCGCTTATTTAAAAGGTTTTAAGAATGCTTATTGCATTAGAGAAAGTGCGGGTTAGGCCTAAGTGTATTCACCATGGCTCCGCTGCAGCCTTTGTTCCCAAACACGTGAATGATACATGCCCAGCACTTTGGTGTAAAATTTCCTCGAAGGGTTTCAAAATTTTATCAGGGAAAAGAAAGAGACAAAACGTATTATGCGGATAACTTACACTGGTGAACTTGGTCACTTCCCAGAAAATACACTAATTAAAACACAAAGGCAAAACCGCACAGTTTGGTTCCGAGTCTTCTGAATCGAGGAGTACCGACGCGGGATGTATTTATTTATTTATTCTGATGTTTTGCCGCAGCAGATACCTCCGCAGCCTTTCTCACTAATAGAAAACATTCTGTTGATAGAGGTTGCTAGGTTATAGTAAAATTTGTTGCAAAAACAAAACTTCACGTTAGTGTATTTTCCACCCAGTGACATATTTTGGAAACCAGTTATTTGTATACAGCGGTTCACCCAGTCGCTGCCACCAGACTCAACACATTCAGGCAACGGAAGCAAGCCCTGATCTTTGGGTATGTCCAGGGAACGATTAAAAAAGAGCCCCGGAAGAAAAGTCCAACGTTTCCCTTTACGTTAACGATTGCAATCCCCGACAGACAAAAATGTACAGAATGTCGTAGGCAAGTCCTAAAAGCATCCTCAGACTGGCAAATACGAAGGGTTTGGGGTGGGGGTGGTGTTTTAAAGGCTTCATGCTTTTCCTGTAAGTAGGAAACTTGTAATACGTCTTACAGTACCTGCTGTTGCTGAAGATGTGCTAAATCTGCAGCCCCAATTTCAACTGAAGGTGTCTCGCCGTTTGATCTCACTTCCCGCAGGCTGCACTCTAGTAAATGGTTGCCACCGCTCGCTCCATTCTGAATGGCTGAACCGTTACTTTTTGTCTCAGTCCCAGATTCTTGCATCATGACTCAAAAACCTGAAATAATTTAGGGGAGGGGAGAAAAAAAAAAAAAAAAAAAAAAAAAAAGCAGCTGTTAAAACAGTTGCTGTATATAAGGAGACATGCCCTGTTTTAAATCCTGCCAAAACTGTAAACATTTGTCATTTCCCTTCATACGATTTATCTTTCATTAATGGTTCATGCTACTAGTTTTTGTTTATTTATCTGTTGGTACAGCTATAATTTTAGTAAGTTAGTTCTGTTCTAAATATAGTATTATTTGCTCAACATCTTTTTTCCCTTAGAGAAAAAAAAAATATTTTTGAACGAACACACAGAATCCATAATTAAATTTCTCTAGTTACATCTGGATGCTTTCCTTTGAAACGGGTGAGTCATTCTTCGCAACATATGATGGACGGTATCAAAAACTTTGTATACGCTATGTAGGGGCAGGTGGGGGAAGCAGAGTATTCACTATTTTGGTTTCCATTCACACCGTGGTATTGCCGAATTAGCACCTTTTACTACTCTGAAGCAATTGAGGCTGCGTCTGGGATGTGCTGGACACCCTCAGTTTTCGTCTGGGGCAAACTGCTTCAGCTGCTCACAGAATTGCTCTCTGCCAAATTTCTTGGCTATGGATTTGGTCTGCCTTTGGATGCACTACGGCATCGCAGTGAGGGGCCTCCCGCGGTATTTGGCCAAGCGTCACCCCAGTAGACATAGCTACCCACAGCCGGCCCCCTCAGCTCTTGGCGGAGGTCTGCCCCGGGGTGCTGAACAACGCTGCGCTCATCGGTTCTACCAGTGGGTCACTGGCCCCGCAGTGAGGATGAGGATGAGTGCCCACTTGGAACACCTGGGATTCATACGTCTTTGGGAACTGTCAGCATTTGTGCACAAGACCCCCCCCCCAAACAAAGCACGTCTGCCAGTTTTCAGCTGCAAACCACTACCTTTGAGATATTTTAATGAGTTTTTTTATAGGTATTTCCACCTGCACAGCCCCAAGTTCCAGCACTTAGATATTATTAAGCTGCTCTGCTTCTGCCAGCCCATCCCTCCCTTGGTGCTTCTCCTCCCACCCCTACCCAGGGGAGACGGGGCAGGGAAAGCCAAGCTGCACGCTCCGAGCGCGCTGCCTGCCCCACGCTAACTCACCACGCGCACATGCGAGCCAAATGCCTCTGTGCAGGGAAGTTCACCTTGAAACCGAGATCCTTTATATTTAAGGAAGAACCTTGCTGAATTCAGTAACTACCCCGAATCAAAAGGAAGTAGAAAAATCCCTTCCCTTCCAACACATAGGGGAAAACATCAATCAGAAAGGGCGAGAGAAAGCAATGCATTTCAATGGAAAAGTACCAGGGGAAAACCCTTTCCCTGGGAACTCCACATGTGCGTAATTCGGAGCCTCTGGCCACCAAAGGCGCCGTAGCGGCTGGAGACAGCAATTCCTCCTTCCAGCGCCAGCTCCTCGGGTGTCTGCCAGCCCTAGGTGACATTCAGCATCGGACCCCGTGCGTAGAGGCACGCCCCAGCCCAACGCACCAACGCCAGACCTCTCATTTGGTTGGTAGCTTCAGACGTTCCTAATGATGATCCATACGGCCGATTATCGAAATGTCGTAACTGAGCAGCAGCTGACTAACGAGGGCTTTGTCACCACCACGCTCCGGCGTTAGCACTCCTCGCTGATTCACGTCCGAGGCGGGTGAACCACTCGTTAGCCGGACCCCGCTCCAGTCGTGACGGGATCTATTGACGCTGATGGCCGCCCAAGCACATGGATGGTGCAAGGACAGATTCAAATGTTCTGATTACATTTAAATAAATTTCAGCTGGTCTATGGAAACTTCTTTCAGTCTGTTTTGTGAGATCTTTGAATTATGCAAGGGGACAAAAGGGCTTGGGGGCTCATTATAAAGCTTCTGTCAACTCCCTTGTAAAAGCTCGAGAGATCTAAACTAACCTTCAGCTTTCTCAGTGCCACTAGCAAATGCTTTTGGGTTTTAACATGATCCTGCTCTGACACAGACTGAGCATGGTGTGGTTTTCATTTTCAGCGCTATAAGGAAAGCCCACAAGCGTGATAAGGTCTAAATAAGTGTTTACACCTAACACACAAGGCTGGATTACACATCGGGCAGTGACTGCATGGCACAGGTTCCTTCAGAAGACGACAGGAGCGAGAGTCTCCAGGCAGCTCACAACTTACTCAGAAGTATGCCATGCAATTGCTATATGCTACACTACTAAAAAGGACGCATGTCTTCTAACCAGAGATAAAGCAAAGAGAAAGAACTGATGTATGTAGTTGTTTTCTGCATCCATCCAAATCTGGGATCAAGCCTCAACTGAAGAAAATGAAGCACTACATTAATCTACCTCAGCAGAAGATCTGGACAAGGATGACCCCCACGTAAGATTGAGTTAGCAGGTTAAACCCAGAGACTCACATCTTTGACCATTGTGACACCCAACGGCAAATGGTGGGTGGCACGTCACCACCACGCAGACCACACCCAACAGAGGAAGGACTGAAGAACTGGTGGAAGGTGCCTCCAGAAGATACCATGGTGAAAAGAGATGCTAAAACCAATGTGCCCAAGCAGCGAAGAAGTACATTTCATTCTCCAACGCTTCTGAAGCAACAAATTGACTGGAAGCGAGAACCTGGATAAACTACCAAGGAGGGTCAGAGAAAGCACCGACCAAAGCTCTGAGATGCCTCTGACAGCAGCAAGAAGAATGTACACCACTGAGGAGCCGATCCATCACTGCCTGATCACGATTTGTTGGCTTGCCCTTCTGAGCAGAATATCTCCAGGACCCAGAAAATAATTCACAACCAAACTGGTCAAGAAATTATTTATTGGCTCTAGGATTGCAAAATGCTCCTGGAAAGAAACAACAGTAGAAATAGCTATGATTTTTCCAACCTATAGGATTGAGAAAAAGATGGATTATTTATAGTATTTGGCCACAAAAAGATCATAGTTCTTGAGAACCTTTTCCATGACAAATTTCATGCTCTATTTTATCTTTCAAAGCACCCCGGCCAGTTACCACCTGAGCTGCACAGGGCTGGCCCCGGCCCCTCCGCTGGCTGTGCCCACCCTACGTATCGCATCCAGCGGGATCGGCAGCTATCAAGGAAACGGAGCCGGAAAGGGAGTTTGCAAAGAGAACATCAAAAAAGTAACAAGAAAATCGTGATGTTTGGACTTTCAAATAATTATTTTAAAAGCAGAAGTGAACATCTTTGAGCAAATTTTGTTTTAAAAACTTCCATTCACAGGCAGTCAACTTCAATATACCTTCAACTGGACACCAATACAAAACAAATCCACTTTGCTAAAATACCTCCAACAGAAAACAGGATTTTCAAGGGAGCAAAGATAAAACTGTTTATTTCTTCACTGTAGTCAAATGTGAGTTGACATAAATAATCACAGTTTGGTTTGATCTTTAAGCGTCATGTCATGAAAATCAACCTGCGAGAGCTTTCTGCAAGAATGATTATTATTTGTCTTTTTGAGCACACCTAAATGAGCCGAGGTGATAGCACTGAGGACGGTTGAGGTAATTGTCTCTCCTCAGCACAGAGGAGCGGGCCCTACAGAAGCCCGTTAGAGAAGTCTGTCATTCAAAATTGTGAAAGAAAAAAGCAAAGCAAGGTTGACTTTATGCAACATGATTAGGTTCTGTGGGAGCTGAACTGAAGCTTCAGGTCTAGTACCACAAACCGTGATTCTGGTCTGAATACAACCCCAAGTAACCAAAACAGTGCTGAAGAAGCTGTTCTGCATAAAGATTTATTATAGGAAATACAGTACTCCACAAAAGCCTCCATGACATACAAGATACCATGTTCTGACTTAAATTTAATGGCAAAAGAGCACGTCCATCTCATCCGTTCTGCCAAGCAGAATGACTCTCATATCAATTCTGCAAAGGAAAATGTATTTTTTACAGCTTAAAATAGATGGGTTCTTACCAGAAGAAGTATCTTTCTTTCTTTTTTATAAAAATTCTATGATCTTTCATGTTAGGAGGGATAGAGAATGACTCTTATTAAAGCTGACAAAAGATGTTTTTTTCCCTATGAAGGGACCAAAGCTAAGCTGCAGTATGAACAACAACTTGTAAAATTTTATCCTGAAACCAAGGAGCACGTCCTAACAGAACTGATCTTAGACAACTTAACGTCAACGTCGTTTAAAAATCTCACAACGCCAATCGATTTCTCAAGATTCTCATCTTAACCTGCACAAAATCTTTTCTAGCTTTGACACACAGTCAAAAGCAAAGCCAAAGCCATACAGTTTGGCCCATCTCCTTGGTGCATATGTTATGTCCAAGGTAATGGGGTGAAATTTCACTGGAGTGGAATCAAAGCAAGGCACTCTGTCAGTAGAAGGACAACAGCTCATCATCTTCCAGATGACTTGGACAGAAGTAGAGGACAGCTAATTTCTTAAAGGCATGGTCAAAACTGAAAAAAAAAAAAACATCAGTCGGATGTGAACTTTGGCTGAATCAAAATGATCTGAGGACTTCAGCGTTGATGTCTTGAACTGAAAAAACAGAACCTGAATTTTGAAAATGTTCTGTGCTAATCCATTTAAAAAAAAAAAAAAAAAGAAAAAAAAAATCCCATAGCATCACAAAGACCAGATGCTGCAGATACGCGTCTCTCAGCTCCACTGGACTATTTAGACGAGCAAGGTTAAGCATGGAGATTAGTAGGCAGGAGGTGGGCACTGAAGTGTGCAATTTCTGCAGTTCTTCTACCAGCGTAGTTTCTAAAGACTCAGCAGCATTGTTTAATGTCAGCATGAGGGAGGATTTACTGACTGAAGCACCCGTCAGAATAAGGACCCACTGCAAGTCTGAAAGACTACGGGACTGATATTCAGATGTATTTAGATGCCTCGCCATACACGGAGGCATCTGGCGAGACATTTTTAAGACTCCTGGATAAGCACCAACCTACATCTTCAAGCATCTCATCACCTTTAAAAAAAACT